GCGAGCCTAACTAGCAGAGGATTTATTAAGGTAGAAACGTTACTGAGGGATGCTCTATTCATCCATATTCTTGGTATTAATCTACTTTATAAACATTGTTCCTGATGTAGTCATGGTACTGCTTGGTTAGCTTCTGACAAATAAACATTTTAGTACTTTGCAAGTTTTAATATGGACCCTATAATTACTGTTGGAAAGAAGCGCAGAGACTGGACTGTTACAACACCTCATTTTTCTCCAGTCAGAAACAAGCTGCAGTGAAGATGCTCACACTGCACAGGTGTTTGTTACACTGCTGTCACTATTTCAATGATTTAGCTCAAACCGTTTTGGTTCAGACGAGGGATTAGTTTGCTTATATGGTTAAATAAAGATCACCTAGTTTAACTGGAACATGAGGTTTTTTATCACGGCTGGCAGGGAGGGGTGGATGTGACCACAGCTGTGTCCACTGTCCCAGTTACTATGAAAATAGACCAGTTTTTTGAAGTTTTTTCTACTTTTGTAGATATTAGGGCTACAGCTATAAAGTAATGGATCAATATATTGATTTGTTTTTTTCAATTAATCAAGACGATGATATTAGTAAATTAATTATTTAATAAATTTCTAGATAAACTTTTACATTATACAAAAAACCTTTATTGTGCATTTTTAATATAAAACATGTAAAAATAACATATGTACATATAAGTGTCATTTTAAATATATAGGATTAAAAAGTGTTTATGGTTCATATTTGTAACATTTTGCTCTGATTACTGATGTAATGTAAGTAGTTATTATGACATCAAATAGCATAACGTGAGTAAAACATTAACGCTGCAATAATATTTTTGAATACAGGTATTTAAGAAGTAAATAATGAGGTGTGAATGGCAGTTTTTATGGTCAAACATATAATATAGTTCTATTTGATGCCTGGTTTCTAAAAAGTACATTTTGGATAATGAAAGCATGTCCGGACATATAGCAAAAAAAAAAAAAAAAGTTACTCACAGATGGCTCCATTTCTTCCTACAACACTGAAAGCCTTCTGTATTTTAGAACATTTTAAATTTTTGTCATTTGCTAAAAAGGCCCAGTCATTTAACAAATAATTAGAAAACACAATACTATTTCTCTTTTTTTTTGCAGTTTTTCAGCACTAGTGGCTTGTTTTTCTGACAGTAGGCTGACAGGAAAGGGGGTATGAGAGAGGGGAGAGACATGCGGCAAAGGACCACAGGCCGGATTCAAATCCGGGTCGGCATGGGTTGTGCACACTAACCACTGCGCCCCCTACACGCCCCACACAATACTATTTGAATTAGAAAAATAATAAAGCAGCATAGATATATAATGTATATATATATATATATATTTTTTTTTTTTCTGGACAGGGTTTGTTATTTGTTCAACTTCCTCTATTGGTATGGAGCATTTCTGTTTCTTTTTTAGAGCGAGTTCTCATCTGTTTTTTTTGTGCATTATTTTCCTTTATTGCAGCATTTAGTTTTTCTTTGCAGCGTTTTTCTGTTGCATTTGTTTTTTATATTAACATGTTTTTGAATTTACATAATACGTGGCTTTGCAGCTTATTTCATCATTTGCGTTTGGACATGTAGGCCAACGTACAGGCCTGTTGCGCAATGCTGGTTTTCCTTCATCTCTCTAAACCTTATTTGCTGTCAGCCCACTTTCAAATAACGGGCACCAGAAAAGAGTGAGATACCTACGTTTCTCGCTAAATTAAGGTGATATTACTGTTTTTAGAGAGGTGCTAAATGTTATCTGACTATATCAGCTCCTGACCTGCTCTCAACCCAAACCGCATCTGAACCACATTGGATACCAGCAGCCTGGTTCAGCTTTAGATGAAACCGTCTCAGATCAGACCATCAGCTCCTCTCTCATTCAGACTGCTGGCTTCTTACCAAGTTCACCTGGATGGTCTTCTCCCAGTTCTTCTCGTTGTTGATGCCAGCATTGTTGATGACGATGTCCAGGCGTCCAAACTTGTCCACAGTCCTCTGGAAGGCGTCTGTGCCACGTAGACAAAGACAGCATTACTGAGGCCTTACAGCTCCAGTGTTCTGTGAGAAACATTTGTCTGTAGATATGAATCTGCTGCTTATTAGTATAACCTGTGAAAGAGTTTACATTTAATCTCCAAATGATTTAAAATCATTAAGAGATTTCATAAAAAATATTTGATAATCTTTAATTAGACAAGAAAAAGTGAAGTTTCAGTCTAATGTAGACAGAGAAGCTGTTTTATCTCCTGATAGCTGCTCACCATGTCACTCAGCTTATTCTACAGTACTTGTTGCTTCTTCTATAGCTTTCTTTGGTCACATGATGTTGGTTCTGGGTGAGTCATTAAAGCAGCAACAGGTAATTTTAGAAGCAAACATTTCACTAGTTCTAGTTTAGAGCTCTGGTCCAACAATCAAATACCTGAAATTTCTCATCAACCTGATCTATAGGATGCTGTTAGGGCCCCATCATTGAAAACAGGAAAACTCCTCCACCCGTGCGTCCTGAAGGTGGAGGAATGGAAAGGAATGGAAAAGCAAATAACTGACGTTTTCAACTAGCCTATTCAAAGGGCAGAGTTTGATCTGATTAAAATTCAATGGTCAGACATCAGAGAAAAGTCACTGCTGCTGGATAAGTTTCTACTGGCTGCTGATGGAGGTTCTACT